AGATTAGTTGATGCGAGTAAAAATATCAATTTATGTGGATACAAGGACATGGGTATGGAGGGGATTTTATTGAATTTTAGTAATGTAAAGGGGAAATGTGTATTACATTTAAGATTCAGAAAAAGAAGGGGAAAAAATTGTGAATAAATTGGTAATTGATGAGGGTTGTGGGTAATTTTAGTCGAACTAGAGATACCAAAAAAAGATGATATAAGTGGGTTGTTTTTGTGACTTTTTCTGATGAAATTATTTTAAACGAGAAAAAATTGTGGGTTGTTGGTGATGTGGGTTTGTGGGGTGATGTGGGATGTGGGTGTTGGGGGTTTTGTGGGTGTTGTGGGATGTGGGTGTTGATCTTAGTTTATGGTGATTTTGGTGGTTTTTTGAGTGTATTCAGTGGTGTTTTTAGTAGTATTCAGTGGTGTATTTGGGAGTACTCAAATTGTAAATTGAGGTTATTCAAAGGTGTGATTATAAGTTTGGGTTGTTGTTGTTGTGACTTTCTGATGAAATTATTTTAAAACGAGAAAAAAATTGTGGGGTGTGGGTGTGTTGATTGTGTGTGTTGTGGGGGTGTGGGTGATGTTGGTTGTGTGTGTTGTGGGGTGGGGGTTTGATGTGGGTTGTGTGTGTTGTGGGGTGTGGGTGATGTGGGTTGTGGTGTTGTGGGATGTGGGTGTTGTGGGTGTTGTTGTCGAACTAGAGATACCGAAAAAGATGTTATAAGTGGGTTGTTGTTGTGCCTTTTTCTGATGAAATTATTAAAAAGAGAAAAATTGTGGGGTGTGGGTGTTGTGGGGTTGTGGGTGTTGTGGGTTGTGAGTGTTGTGGGATGGGGGTGTTTTGGATCTTAGTTTAATGGTGATTTTGGTGGTGTTATGAGTGTATTCGGTTTGGTGTTTTAGTAGTATTCAGTGGTGTATTTGGGAGTATCAAATGGTGTTTTGAGGGTTATTCAAAGGTGTTTTTGAAGGTGTTCAAATGATTTATGAGAGTACTTATGAAGGTGTTCTGGGAGTATTCAGAGGTGATTTGGGGGTGTTCGAGTGATGTTTTTGGAGTTTTTAAAAAGGAATTGATGGTGGTTTTTGGTGATGTTCAAAGTAAAGTGTTTGAGTTAGTTTTTGTGATAATGTTGTGAAGTCTAGAGACTGAGGGAGGAGTTTAGGGGGGGAGATGAGTTGTAATTTAATGAAATGTGTAAGTGCAGAAAAAATTAGAGCTTTTCAAATCTTATTTGGGAGTATTCAAAATGATATTTTGGAAGTGTTTCAGTGTTGTTTAGAAATGTTCAAAGGTATTTTTGTGAGTATTCAAATGATTTATGAGAGTGTTTTGAAGGTGTTCAAAGTAAAGTGGGTGTGTGTGCGTATTAACTTTGTAATATGTAAAATTGTGTCTAGGAGTTAATGGAAAGTGGTTATAAGTGTTGTGGTGACTTTTTCTGATGAAATAGTTAAAACAGAAAAATTGGGGGTTATGAGTGAAAATTGTGAGGTGTTGGGTTTGGGAGTGTGGGGTTGGGGAGGGTGGGGAGGAGGGAGAGAGAAGGTTACTTCATGGGGAGCGACCTGAGATGAAATAGTTAAAACGAGAAAAATGTCTAGACTTGTATTTTGTAAAGAAATTGTGGATTGTTGTGGGTATTAACGAAAAAAATGTGAAATTATTTGGATTATCTGGGTTAAGAGTGAAAATGTTTTCCCCATGTTGTATATGAAATGTGTAAGGGGGAAGCCTGTGTGTGTGGGGTCATCACGGGACGTCACTGACATAGGGGGAAGTCGAAAGATTCAGCCTGTAGTGTGAGGTCATCACGTGACGTCACTGACCGCCGAGTAAACACAGGTGGGGTGACGTCACACTTGTTTAGACCTGTAGTAAGAGAAAGTACCATGCCCCATAGGAGGAGTTTATTTGAATGCTTACCTTGGAGGGGGGAATCCAAAAACTTAATCCGGGAGATGGAGTCTTTTGGGATTATCGGAGGAAAAAACTTGATCCAAGAGATGGAGTCTTTGTATTATCGAGAAAAGCTTGATCCAAGGAGATGGAGACTTCCAAAAAATGATTCGAGGAAGTGGAGACTTTGATTTCGAGAAAAAAATTGATCCAAGGAGATGGAGTCTTTGATTTCGAGAAAAAATTGATCCGAGGAATTGGAGTCTTGGTATTATCGAGAAAAACTTGATCCCAAAGGGGATGGAGACTTTGATTTGAGAAAAATTTGATCCCAGGAATTGGAGTCTTTGTATTATCGAGAGAAAAAAATTGGGATGCAAGTGGGGGTTCATTTTGAATGCTTATACGCAGAGGGGGAATCCAAAAACCTTGATCCAAGGAGATGGAAATCTTTGATTTCGAGAAAAATTTGATCCGAGGAATTGGAGTTTGGTATTATCGAGAAAACCTTGATCCAAGGAGATGGAGACTTTGATTTCGAGAAAAATTTGATCCGAGAGATGGAGTCTTTGGGATTATCGAAAAAAACCTTGATCCAAGGAGATCATAAGAAAAAAAAAAATTTGAAAAAATTTGGGGTGGGGGTGAAAGTGGGGGGGGCAATCCAAACTTGATTGAGGAGAGCACAGAAATCAAAAAAAATTCGAAAAAAAAAACGGGAAAAAAATTCGGGAGTGGGGGCCGATCCGAGGACGCTTGCAAAGGTGCAGCAGAAGTCACGGGCGGGCGCGAGGGGGCTGGGCGCGAGGGGCGCGGGCGGTTGCAAGGGGCGCAGGGGCGGTGGGTCGGCGTAGGCAGGGCCGGTGGGTGGGGGCGCAGGGGGGGGGGGGGGGCGCGGGGGGTCGTGGGCGGGGCGGGGGGTCATGGGTGGGGGTCCCTGGGTGGGGTCAAGGGTGGGGTCATGGGTGGGGTCATGGGGGGGGTCAAGGTCATTAGCATATGGGTGTGAAAAAGGTCATTAGCATATAGGTGTGAAAGGGAGACCCTCTGTTGAAGTCCTTTTGGGAGGAAGCCACTGAGAGGAGGAAGCCACTCTGTAGAAGGAGCCACTGAGAGAGGAAGCCATACTGTAGAAGAGCCACTTCTGTAGAAATCAGTACTACTCATATATATATATATAATATATATAAATATATATATTAATATATATATATATTATATATATATATATATATAATATATATATATATATATTATATATATATATATCCTATAAAATGTAAGCATTAACATGCTATATATATCTCCCTTTCCCCCCAGTTTTATGATTGAATCCTCTAACTTGCTGATGTGAGCCAGGAATGTTACCCGCACCCATGACAGGTGGTAGCACCTCTTGAGCAAATGCTGCTTAAACATCGTCACATTACATCATCTATTTGTCACTTTTTAATCATCTAAAACACTCAGTGTTTCGCTGTTAGGTTATACGACTAAAACTTGGTTGTGTGACGACTGACTACTGTAAGGTTTTTCTGCATTCACCTGGGAGTTATGGAGGTGTGTGTGCCGCGGCTGCGACCCACGGTGGGTGTGGTGCTAGCACTGCCCTACGCTCTCATGATGATCTTCCTCGCCTCCTCGCCTACTTCGTCAGAGACTGGCGCACCCTCCATGCTGCTGCCACCTTCCCTTTGTTGCTCCTCTTCATCCTGTTCTCTAGTGAGTTGCAGCGTTTTTCTTGAGCTGTGTGTTGTTTTGGATCGGTTTTATGGACGTGTGCTACCTTGTTAGTTTATTATTCACCCCATACACAAACCTGTAAAGACAAGGTTTAATAAAGACCATAGAGGCACATAATGGATCCATCGACTGGTCTTCTTCATTGTATTATTCTGAGCAAAATATAGTAGTAATTAACTATTTAAAAAAACTGTCAGTGTCTCTCTAGGTTGGATTATTGCTATACACTAACGGCCCCTTTTGTAGACCCACAGTGGGTCTACACTTTCAAGGCAGACGAAATTGCAGACCTGGATAATGGACAGAGAACTTCCACGGCACGCATAAGAAACGATAAAGTCCCTTGATTTGTATACCCTGGAACGCAGGCGAGAAAGATACATGATAATACACACTTGGAAAATCTGAGAGGGACTAGTCCCAAAATTTGCACACGAAAATCATTTACTATGACAGCAAAAGATTGGGCAGGGGGTACAACATCCCCCCAATGAAAAGCAAGGGCGCCACGAGTACACTAGGAGACAACACAGTAAGTGTCAGTGGCTCAAGACTGTTCAACTGCTTCCCAGCAAATATAAGTGGGATTATCAATAGATCCTTAGCAGTCTTCAAAAAGGCACTGGACAGGCACCTAAAGTCAGTACCTGGCCAGCCGGGCTGTGGATTGTACGTCGGTTTGCATGTCGATTTGAGTGTCATGGTCTGTCATTGATACCTACTTTTGTCTCAGAGAATTTCCCCTCCTATCCGTTGATGTCTTGCAATGTTGCATAGCTCCTGACAATGCAACAGAATGCGAAAGATCTAGAGTTAAAGATTTCCATCCCCCTGTCGTTTGTTTTGCATTGTTAAAAAACGCTTGTTTGCGATTGTGCTGCAATATTTGACAGTTTCTGAGTTGAGTGCAATTAATGGTCATGGTACTTTGAGTTCTGTCACCCTATTTGAGAATCTTTACTCAAAATTTTTTTAATATGCTTTATTAAACAATTTCCAGTGAGCGGCAATATATCTGATGAAATAAATTAACAAGTTCGTTACTATATAAAGATAAACTCTGTTCTCTCGATACCAAAATGTTTCTCACACTAGTTCTTACTCTTCTGTTATGGTTAGCCTCTATCCACTCCTATTACAACAAATTATAAAAATTTTTAATAAAAAATATTATTATTAGCAGCAATAGTTTTATATCTAATTAAATTATATTTAGCATTAAAATATATACAAATAATATCTATTAAGACTTTTCGGAATTAAAGAGAGTTACAGAGTGTCAGGGTAGAAGGTCAAAACTTAAGGTGTTTGTAGCGTTAAAAAAGTGTGTTGTGTTGTATCAGTTTGGTGGACGAGTCGCCCAGGTGGTTGCTGGTGCACGGTCGTGTGCACGAGGGCAGTGAAGGTGCTACAACGAGGGGCGCGCCTTAACAAGGTGATGCTGCCTGAAACCACCATACTCACTGCCATCATATCTCCCACCAGTGAGGTGAGTCTTTATCATCTCTCACAGCAGTGAGGCTAGTCTCTATCATCTCTCCCACCAGTGAGGTGAGTCTCTATCATGTCTCACACCAGTCAGGTGAGTCTATCATCTCTCCACTATCATAAATCCACTAGACTTTGAGAAACCCATTGGCAAACATGCCCATGCACTCAGCCCCAGGCCCACACTCGTGGAACACTGTGTTCATTAAGAACGGCAAGAAACCCCTTTCGCATTTCCCTAAGTATGCTATGGGAAAAAGGAGCATAGACATGGGTGAAATTCCACATAACTAAAAACAACGGATATAACCCCAAATCCATAAAGGTTGCAGCAAAGCATTAGCTAAGAACTATAGACTAATAGCCCTAAACTCCCACATCATAAAAGTCTTTGAAAGAGTACTAAGAAGCATGACCGGAAACCACTTGACTTCCCAAACCTGCACAATCCAGGGCAACATGGGTTCAGAGCAGGTCGCTCGTGCCTCTTACAACTACTGGATCACTATGATATGGTCTTGGATGTACTGGAAGACAAACAGAATGCAGATGTAATATACACCAACTTTGCAAAAGCCTTTAACAAGTGCGATCATGGTGTAATAGCGCACAAAATGCGTGTTAAAGGGATAAAATGGGGTAGTGGGGAGATGGATGTTCAATGAAGACAAATTCGAACTACTCCGTTATGGAAAACTGGAGGGAGATAATAATTAGAACTGAGTATACTACTGAGTATACTACAAACTCTGTTATCATATAATACATAGGAAAAGCAATGTGAGGGATCTGGAAGTACTAATGTCTTAGGATATCACTTTCAAGGATCACAACAATGCCACGATCACAAAGCGAAGAAAATGACAGAATGGATGATGAGAGCGTTCAAAACAAGAGATGTCAAGCCAGTGATAATCCTTTTTTAAATCACTTGTGCTCTTGAGGCTGGAATACTGCTGTACATTCAAAGCAGGTGAAATTGCAGGTCTAGAGAACCTTTATTACACATACAAGTTCAGTCAAACACCTCAACTACTGTGAATGCTTGAAAGCAATTTGACTTACTCGCTGGAAAGCAGACGAGAGAGATATATGATAATCTACAATTGAAAAATCCTAGAAGTAATGGTCCCTAATCTGCACACAGAAATTCACGCCCTACGAAAGTAAAAGACTGGGCAGGCGGTGCAAAATCCCCCCAATGAAAAGTAGGGGCCAATGATACACTAAGAAAAAAACACAATAAGTATCCGGGGCCCAAGACTGTTTAACAGCCTCCCACCAGGCATAAGGAGAATTACCAATAGACCACTGGCAGCCATAAGACGGAGCTGGACAGATACTTAAACTTGGTCCCGGGAAATCAGCGGGCACGTACGTGAACCACAGCCCGGTTGGTTGGGTATGACTTTAGGTGCCTGTCCAGTGCCTTCTTGAAGACAGCCGGGGCGGCTAGCAATTAACCCCCGGGTTTTGATCAGGCCCTGATCCATCGGGGGGGAACCTGGTTGTGGACCTGGTTGTGGACCGGGTTTGTGGACCTGGTTGTGGCCTGGTTGTGGACCAGGTTGTGGACCTGGTTGCGGACCAGGTTGTGGACCTGGTTGTGGATCTAGTTGTGGACCTGGCTGTGGACCTGGTTGTGGACCTGGTTGTGGACCTGGTTGGGGGGACCTGGTTGGGGACCTTGGTTTGGACCTGGTTGTGGACCTGGTTGTGGACCTGGTTGTGGACCAGGCCGCAGGGGCGTTGATCTCTTAAATTCCTCCAGGTAGACTCCAGGTATTTGAGGTGAGTCACTACTGTGTTCCCAATAGTGAGGTGAGTCTTTATCATCTCTTCCAGCGGTGAGGTGAGTCGTTATATCTCTACCGCGATGAGGTGAGTCTCTTTCATCTCTCTCAGCCGTGAGATGAATCTCTTTATCTCCCCCTGTGGAGAGGTAAGTCTCTGCTATCTCTCCAAATGGTGAGTTGAAACTCTGTTATCTCTCTAAGTGGTGAGGTGATCTCTTTTTAAAATCTCCCAGCGGTGAGGTGAAGCTCTGTTATCTCTCCCAGCAGTGTGGGTAGACTCTGTTATCCCCTTTCCCCGCAGGTGGGTTTGACTCTGTTATCTCTCCTAGTAGTGAAGTGTGGCTCTATTTTCTATTATTGGGCTACGTCCTTCTTTCTGACTTCGTTATGTAGGTGATGTCTTTACTCTTTGGATAAGTGATTCCAGTCTGTTATTAACCTTTGCTTGATACCTGAACATTCTTGCTCGATTGATTTTACATTCATTTGACACTGAGGTCCGGGGGTCGATTCCCGGTACTGTTGGAAATATTAGGACGTGCTTCTTTAAGACACTTGCTGTCTTTGTTCATCTATCAGTAAAATAGGTATCTGGGTGTTAGTCGATTGGTGTGGGTTGCATCCTGGGACAAAATTTACTAATTTGCCAGAAATATTCTGCATTAACAAGGAGCTTTCTGTGTTGTAATATGTCATTGATGTACTTGTGGAAATAAAGATTTTTATTATTATTATTTATTATTATTATTATTTATTATTATTATTTTACCATTATTATTATTATTATTATTATTATTATTATTATTATTATATTATTATTATTATTATTATTAGTCTTAAGGTGAATGGGAATCTCTTTGCTTCCTCTCCTTGATGTTCATGTCCACCACTCAATGACAGACTTTTCTTTTCACGTTTTCCGCAAATTTATACTTTGTCATGCTCCTTCTGCCAAGAAAAGTCTGTTTGTTTCTCTTTTTTCGTGCCCTCCGCATATGTGACCCTCAATTTCTCGACCCTGAAATCACTTCGCATCTCCTTTCACCTTGGCTGTCTTACCGATTTCATAAACTCTGCCAACTCCTTTGCTGAACGGATTTTCTTTCCCAAACACCTTTTTAACTTAACCTATAAATGCAATATTCTGAAGGTTAATAACACACTCCGTCGTATAGATATTAAACTTACTTTTCGTTTAACTAATAACCTTAGCAGGAATCTTGTTCATGTTTCTCCTCCTGTGGTTGATGCTTCCGGCATTTACTCTATTTCATGTTGTCTTCTCCAGTTTTGTGGTGACACTGACCGTTACCTTTCTGACAGACTTAAACAGCACAAAAGAAGTATTCATCTTGTTAATACCAACCAGTGGCGGCTCATGTATAGGCACTGTGGAACTGCAGCACCCTCTATTTTCACTCGATATTATCAATAACATTCAATATAATGAGTCTTTTTTTCTTTAATTCTTTCTTTATACCTGTACATCTTTAAGCTTAATGTCAGTAGCCATCCTCTAGTACACGAAAAAATTACAAAAAATCCTTGTATGGAACTGTGCACTTCACAGTTCCAGCAACTCTGTGTTTGGCTGTTGTATGAATGCGCACATGTCCGAGATAAGATGCTGTACACTAGGTAGAGAGAGCACTGCCACTGACGCAGTGCCAACCCTGTTATACAAGTGCAAGGTAGTGTTTCTTTTTGACTCAGCGACGTGTACTGTGCTTAAAAACCATGTACCATATTCTTGAATGTGATGAAGTGTAGAATTAAATGATTATCATGCTTCCAGCTATTTTATTTAATTCATTGTTATTTTTCGGTTCTTTTATTTTACAGAAAATTTAAATAATTTAGTCATGGCCTCCTTGCACCCCCAAAAAATAAGTTCTGTGACTGTAAGTGAACTTCAACAGCTTAAGTTTTCACAGTTGTCTCTCCATGAGAAAGTTACAGTTAAGAAAAGAGGCCGTTAAACACCTGATATTCAAATATATCAGCCAGGATTAAACAACAACAAGAAATATAATCGTAGCTTTAATTCTGAATGGTACCAATGGAAAAGTTGACTTTGCGGCTGTGAAGTACAAAATGCTTTTTACTTCCCCTGTTGTGTCTGGAGGGGATTAACGTGGAAAA